GGCCTGGCATTCCTGAAATCAAAGCTTATCTCAATGGCGTCGACACTCCCAACATGTTCGGTGCCTCCACTTTGATCGTCAAGGTTCACCCCCTTTCTTTTGGTCGAGTTTTTTTTATATATATAAAAAAAAAAACTCACTTTTTTTTTGGTTGGGTTTGGCAGATCATTGGAAGTATCGGAGCGGTGGCTGCAGGGCTGGATCTGGGGAAGGAGGGTCCGCTGGTTCATATCGGGAGTTGCATTGCTTCGCTGTTAGGACAAGGCGGACCGGACAACCACCGGGTCAAGTGGCGGTGGCTACGTTACTTCAACAACGACCGGGACAGAAGGGACCTTATTACGTGCGGTTCCGCCTCCGGTGTCTGTGCGGCTTTCAGGGCGCCAGTCGGAGGTGTGCTCTTCGCCCTCGAGGAAGTGGCCACGTGGTGGAGGAGCGCTCTGCTCTGGCGGACGTTCTTTAGCACGGCCGTGGTGGTGGTCGTGCTGAGGGCGTTCATCGAGATCTGCAATTCCGGCAAGTGTGGGCTGTTTGGAAGAGGAGGCCTCATCATGTTTGATGTGAGTAATGTGTCGGTCCGTTACCATGCCGCGGATATTATCCCCGTCACTTTGATCGGTGTCCTCGGCGGCCTTCTCGGGAGTCTCTACAACCACCTCCTGCATAAAGTTCTCCGCCTCTACAATCTCATCAACCAGTAAGTGTCATCATTAAAACCGTAATCACAATGACTTTTGAATGACAACAACTCGCAATCGCTATCAACAACTCTTTATCGACCAATCCACATCAATCCCCAGCAAAGCGTATAAATACGTTTCAAGGGCCAAAATATCAGTTACATTAGTTGTTTTGCAGGAAGGGTAGGGTTCACAAGGTGCTTCTGGCTCTTTCCGTATCACTCTTCACCTCGGTTTGCCTGTACGGTCTTCCTTTCCTAGCGAAATGCAAGGCCTGTGACCCGTCTATTGCCGAGACCTGCCCGACAAACGGAAGATCGGGCAACTTCAAACAGTTCAATTGCCCAGATGGTTACTACAATGATCTAGCCACTCTCCTTCTCACTACCAACGACGATGCTGTCAGAAACATCTTCTCTTCCAACACTATGAATGAGTTCAACATGGGTTCTCTCTGGATATTCTTCATCCTCTACTGCATCTTGGGGCTTTTCACTTTCGGTATCGCCACCCCGTCCGGTCTCTTCCTCCCCATCATCCTCATGGGCTCAGCCTATGGCCGAATGCTTGGCACTGTCATGGGATCATATACAAGCATCGACCAAGGGCTTTATGCTGTCCTTGGTGCAGCTTCTCTCATGGCCGGTTCGATGAGAATGACCGTCTCTCTGTGTGTCATATTCCTCGAGCTTACGAACAACCTTCTTTTGCTGCCCATTACGATGATAGTGCTTCTGATTGCCAAGACTGTGGGAGACAGCTTCAACCCAAGCATTTACGAAATCATATTGCATCTAAAGGGCTTACCTTTCTTGGATGCAAATCCCGAGCCGTGGATGAGGAACCTCACTGTTGGCGAGCTTGCGGATGCTAAGCCCCCGGTCGTAACCCTTCACGGCGTAGAGAAGGTTGCTAATATAGTCGATGTGCTCAAGAACACGACACATAACGCGTTCCCGGTTCTAGATGATGCAGACGTACCTCAGGTGGGTCTAGCCGATGGTGCTACAGAACTGCACGGGCTGATCCTGAGAGCACACCTCATTAAAGTTCTGAAAAAGAGATGGTTCTTGTCAGAGAAAAGAAGGACCGAAGACTGGGAAGTGAGGGAGAAGTTTACCTGGGTTGAATTAGCCGAGAGAGAAGACAACTTCGAGGAAGTGGCAGTGACAAGCGCTGATATGCAGATGTATGTCGATCTTCATCCGCTCACCAACACGACTCCATACACGGTTGTGGAGAGCATGTCGGTGGCTAAGGCCATGGTGCTGTTCCGGCAAGTGGGTCTCCGCCACTTGCTCATTGTCCCCAAGATCCAAGCCGCAGGGGTGAGTTCATTGCCTTTTCACTCTCTCTTTCCACTTATGAAACCTGCAAAAACAAACTCAATTGCTCTAACTTGTTGGGTGATCGATTCTCTTTCAGATGTCTCCGGTGCTCGGGATCTTAACCAGGCAGGATCTCAGGGCATACAACATTCTACAAGCTTTTCCTCACCTGGAAAAATCAAAAGGCGGAAAGCTACACTGAGCCGTGACATACACCGCTGCAGTGGCTTGCAGCAATGTCGTTTTCGGAGATATTTCTTTTCGGTTTTGCATTCTTTCTTCATATTCAACAGGTGGTGATGATAAGATAAGATAAAAATATACCATAGATTCGGTTTTCCCCTTGTAAAGCTTGTTCTTTTTCTGTCGTCTTTTCACAATAAAAACAGAGGACCGTATCCCCTATTCAACAGAAAAGGCGCAGGATAAAATTGTTCCCTTCATCCTTTGAAGTCCAGGAGTTACAGGCATGGGACTCCTTCATTGGACCTTTCCTTCCACTTTCCAGCCTCAACATTCTGAAAACTTTGTGTCAAGTACTATGGTACTTCTACGCATGCAATTTCTTTTTTTTTTTTTTTCCCATTTCCTCTTTTGTTTGGTCCCAGTCTTCCTCTTCATGTCAAGACGATGAGCTGAGAAATCAGTCTTGCAGTATAATCACGACCATCATGGACACATAAATTCCACATCATGAATGTCGTACAATTAGTGCATAATCTGTATACCTTTACATTGAGGAAAATCGACAAACAGTACGAGAGCCCGATCACTGCAATTTCCGACGAGCTACGGACAGCCAATTTTGCTAGGCATCTCCATCCATATTGCAACGTGAAGCATGAGATTCACAAGTCTCGCCGAAAATTGAAGGACTAACATGCGAGAAATGAGAAACCGGAAGAGAAAACCACCCGTCTACAGCTGCCGAATCGTCGACTCCGATATACGGTTGAAGAAATCGGGAGCTCCGTCGCTGATCACCGGAAACTGGAGATTTGAACTCGTGCGTACAACCGGAACGCATGAGAATCAAATCGCACATATAGATTCGAAGCTCACACCGACAAAATCAAATACCAAAAAAATAATCCTGGCTGAAAAAAATCATACGACTGGAAATGAATGAATGACGCTGGACAACGGGCGCGGAGGAGGGCAGCTGCTGGAGGGGACACGTGGCAGGAGATGATTGGATTGAGAACGCCGATCGGTGCTTTAACGCCGCCGCGCGGAGGCCTTGCTTAGACGCTGCTCAGTGGCGGGAACGGACTAGAAAAAGAAAGGGGAATTTTACTCAGAACGAGTTTGGTCGCACCTATTTCACGTGTACATCAGAAAAAATATAACACTTTTTTTTCGTGTGAAAAGACAAAATTACCCTTAATGAATACGCGATTTTTATCCATTCGAAAACAACTTCGTTATTACGACTTCGTAATTAATTCTAAATATAGTTACAATTGATTCTAAAAAAGGTGGCAAAAAAATCATCTGTCTTATTTTAGTAGTATATCAGTTATATGTTAGTCGTAATAAGGTCGCAAAAAATAAAACGAAAAGGGTATTTCGGACTTTTCCAACTAAAAAGTGGGTTAAAATTGAAAAATATATATATTTTTTTTTTGGTGTACACTGAAATTGCTCCGACCCAAGTGGGTTATTTGAGTAATATTCCCAAAAGAAAGCCCAATGCAGAGTCGTCATCTTCGGTCAAAAAAATATATCCGGCGATTTTTACCCGACCCGACAACCCGGATGGGCCGCCCGCACCTCTCCAGTCCCAATCATCGGCTTATGGTCTCCGTTTGTAAAACACCATAATAGATTCAAATTCTCCCTCATGTGTTCTTACAATTTAAAAATAAATAACTAGTGCAACCATTTTAGAATTGAAGTTAAGGAAAAGAAGATCACAATGGAAGTAATGCCAAGATTAGGAGAAGGCGACTGAGTGGGAAATGGGAATCTTAAAGCCACGCATTTCATCAAAGCTGATGAACGAGATTCCCTGTCCCTCTAGTCACTACTCGTCAGTGCCGAAATAGCGATCGCCGAACTCTCCCAACCCTGGTATGACACGGTACTCCTCGTTCAGGCACGTGTCTATTTCTGACGTCACTATCTTCAACCCCGGGAACCTCTTGCACACGCAGTGGATTCCCTCAGGCGCCTTCATTCACACACAACGAAATTTTAAAAACAACAACAACGAAGCCATTATCTAACAGGCAGTCTCTGTTTCCAGACGGAACAAACACTGACCGAAATGAGGTTGAGGAATATGATGTGGGATTCCGGCACCCCTTTCTGTATCAGCAATTCTATCGCCTGATTTGCTGAGTTCCCTGCCAGACAACCAATTTATTTAGTACAAATTTATATATTTTTACATAAAACTAGATTTAATTTTTAAAAAAATCTCCAGGTTTGATAGATAAAACTCGAATGGTTATAATTTTTTTTGAAAACCCAAAATTTCTATGAAACAAACTACGGCATATACCTGTGGCCAGGACAGGATCCAAGAGCAGGACATGGCGTTCCGAGATGTCACGGGGAAGCTTCTCGTAAATAAGCTGATTTTACAAAAGAGGGGAAAGGGCCTTTAGAGATGATTCATTCTCATAGCTCCTCTAATGCTAATGCAGATACCTACCTGCTTTCCATTGTCACCATCACGGTGGATCAGAATCTTCCCTATTTTAATTCCTTTGCAGCATGCACGCAACGCATTCTCCATGCTTTCCCCACTAACAAGATGTACAGTGCATTTAAGAAAAAGAAACAAATTATGCTTCTGGAGCTAATAAGCCGACATCTTACTCTCAGAACAGTAGAGAGTAGTGATGAATAAGCCGTCCTTTATCAGAAACACAAAAAAGGCATAATATACCTTGAAGGCTCACCTTCGAACAATTGAGACCCCGCATAGTTTCTTGCAGAAATCAACACCCGTATACACAGACCCTGAAAGTTGGGAAAATCGAAAAAAATACATAACCATCTGGATGTTCAATTTCCACAAAGTGCAGTCGGGTTTTCCAGGCCATGCCCACGAAGCAAATGTATCAAGATTTACATGAACCATGTGAAGGAGACATTGTTCGAGGATACCATCTATATATACAAACCCGGGCAAATACCCAGAAACCGTGATTATAGAAAGGTATACTACAGCTCAATTCATTCTCATATAGTACCTGTTGGAGTAACTATTTGTTTCTCTGTGAATGGCAAATGCCCGAGACCATGCTCCACGACCTGAAAGTTAAATCAGAGAACTATACAAATATCTACATACGACCATAATAACAAAGGCCTGAAAGCTCAGTGAGGTTCAAAGGGAAGATATGCTAGTGGGACATACCAGACGGATGAGACGGTCTGAATAAAACACAAAGTCATGCTTTGATATGTCTTTGTCCCGAATAAGTGTATGCATGCCTCTTATCTGCAATCATATTATTCTTCTTGTGACACTACTAATTCAAAACACTGTAATCTGAAAACAGAGCCAGTCAGCCGGCAAAATACGATAAACTACCTGAAATGTTGATTGGATAACGTAAACATTCGGGTAAATTTTGCAGAGATCGTGTTGCCCGAGTTTTGTGTGGATGTGTTGCACAATCAGATCAATTGCTACATGATTATCACCTCCTCGAGGAATGATCACATCCGCATATTTCTTCGAGGGGAGCACAAAATCATCGAAAGCAGGTTTGACAAACTTTGCATACTGCAAAATGAAAACAACATTCTCGGACGATTAAAAATCAATGATATAGCAAGCTCACGGATCTCACTGTCCTACTTGGAGCACCTCAAAATCCCCTTTATCAAACAATGGAACTGAAGAAGCCATGGTTGAGGAGGGACAATGGGATGTTCAGTAAAAAACATAAAACCATATGTCAATATTTCCTGATCTTATATATCAGGAGGCGGAAAAAACCCTGGATATACATACGCTGATGAATTCTACATCAAAACTCGAAAAGAGGCCTCACCTGCTCAAGTACGGAGCTCACGTCCCTACCCCGCTCAACAGTGTCACGCCTAATTCTGCGAGCAAGCCTCACATCAGCATCTGGAACCAATTAATAGCTAAGATGAGGACTTTGAATTAGAGGAAAGGGGAAGACAAAGATAGACTTCACTCAGATTTAAATTTGGCTAATTATATAGCTTCGAAAGCACCAACGCTGTACTAGCAGCTAATAGATAATGATAAACTTGGAATAAAGTGAGTGAAACCATCAGCTACAGAAACGAAACGGAGAAATTTAATCTCAATACCACATGGAGCTACATAGAACAAATAATATTAGTAAAGATATGAAAACGGATCAGTAGCACAAGATGTATGCTTGCCTATGGGTAAAATGAAGGAATGATACAGGTTCAGGACTCATAGGTAGATGGACAAAGATCATAAAATCAAGGTACCCAATTACCTGTGTCAACAAAGATCTTCATATTCATCAGGTTCCGGACTCGTTGGTCATGGAAAACAAGTATCCCCTCCAAAATGATAACATCAGAAGCATTGACCTGACGGAGTAATCAAAGTTATTTCAGTTTTATAAAAGATTATTCCCACCAATTGCGATCTGCAAGGCCTAAAAGAGACATGAGGAGGAGATGTTTATCTTTCTTTTTAGTTAAATAGGAACACAGAAGAATACAATACCCATTTTCTGGAAGTCATAGAAGATCAAACACATGGCCGCCAAAGAAAAGTACATGGGATGGTAACGAAATACAGATGCGTGCAACAACTGGGAGACACAGCTAAGGTGAAAACCACATTAATGTTCTTTCATAGAATAGTATGAACCTGGCGAAATGTGTCTGATCTACGTTGATGAGTCTTGAAGTCGTAAATAGGAACTTGATACGGATGCCCGCCCTTGAGTTTCTCAACACAATCCAAAAGCTGCTCGGTGTCAAAGGCATCTGCAGAAGAAACGAAGCAAAAGATTAATCAAGTGCCATGAGCTAAATATAGAGGCCTCTAATCAAAACAGGCTCAGTGAGGAAAATCCAGAGGATAATCCATTAAGAGCATTTACCAGGATGATCAAAATTGTATTCATGGACACGCTGCATTTCCTCAGGAGTCAAGCCACGGTAAAAGGAATCCTAGTCGACAAGAAGCATCAAATCAAACCAACGATTTTGGTCAAACACAACCAAAGAGCAAGTGAGACATAAGTACAAACCCGGCCACAGAATCAGACCTGATTAACAAGAACCACACGGTGATCATGAAGCTGCTGGATTATCATGTCGCAGACCGTGGTCTTACCAGAAGCCGTACCACCAGATACTCCTACACAATCACGTAGTCAAAGGCAAAAATCAAACAAAACCCAGAAAACACAGGAACAGGATTAAGCCTTAGAAACCGATATCCACCCAGATTTCTGATCTTATTCAACTAGAACCAGTTCAATTATGCCAATCTCCTTAGCTACAATGCTATCATGGGCAGAAAATTTGTCGCCAAAAACTTGAGATAAACCGAAGAAAATGCAATAGAAACTCCGTGAGCGTCAAAATATCGGCAATCGAGCGAGTGGAAACCAGGTGATTCTAATATGAGAAAACTCGAACAGAGAAAATTAAGCAGAATCGAGAATCACCGATGACAAAAGGCTGCTTAGGCGCGGTAGGATCGGCTAAGGCGAAGGAAGAGGAAGCAGACGATCGGAGGTGCGACGGAGAGGAGACGGAGGAGGAAGGCGGAGAAGAGAGATAGCCGTCAAGACGGAGGCCGGAGAAGTGAGGCCCCGAGGCCTTCTCCATGACATAATCGATCGACGTCGAATCCTCCGGCATGGTTTTCCGGCGAACGGAGAGGGCAGAATTCGCGTGCGTGTGTTGTTTGACTGCTGTTTCCGGAGAAAGAAAAAAAAAACAAAAAAGACGGGGAAGGGGAAACAAACAAAAGCTCTTTAGCAACTAAGACCGCTTGGTAGGTACAGCCGCCCCGGGTTCTTCTATATATATAGCCAAAATTCGATCTCTATAACCGGGTCCGGTTATCTTGGACGCGGACCACTATGAGATGGAATCGGTATTATTATTTTTTTTAAAACAAAATTTCAGTTTTGAATCCGTGTATCAGTACATAAATAAAACGGGGTAATCACTCGTGAATTAATCTTATCACTTCACTCTTGATTTGAATATTGATAGATTTGTAATAATTTTTGAACGATTTTGGATAAACTCGTATATATAATTATGTGACATATTTAGCCAAAATAAGTTTAAGGTTTAACAAAAGTTAATTACATTATACATTAATACGTCATAATTTACAAAACATTATAAGGAGTCTGATTTTTTTTTTTTTTTTTTTTTTTTTTTTTTTTTCCGTTTCCCAACTTGATTATTTTACTTCTATATTAATGTAGGTACCCCCATGGTAAAATAATTCTTCGAGGACATTGTATGATAACTACAAGTAAAATATAACATGATAAACGAAATATATTGCATAGTCATTACGAGAAAAAAAAATCAAAATTTCTCTCACGTAGTTGGGCTATTAAATAATATTATTTTATTGAATTTCATAATTTAACTTGAAAAAAGAACAAATAGCATCAATTCCAGAGTCAATATAGTATAATGTTTCATATTTATCCCATATTTCGATGTTCTGTAGAAATTTATTTTCAAAATGAAAACTTCTGCATTTGACGTGGTATGGATTTTTCGTTTCTCTACACAAAATGGCCGAAAGGGGAGGGTTGGGCGAGACCATTGTTGTCGTATCTAATGGGCCGAAAATAGGCCCAAATAGTATTGTATTAAACGTCCCACATCGAAAATACAGACAATACTTATGCATTATATAAATAGAACGAAGTAAATTAAAATTGTGTTTGTAGAAAAGGATAGATGGTTGGCATCTCCCCTGACAGGGACGGGAGCGGCCCCTTGGGCCTACCTTGTGATTGAACACATTAAGGCAACCCACCTCGGTGGATCTTAACCATTTTTTTGGACCGTAGTCAACGTAATTCATAGTTATATTCAAGTTCTATTTTTTATTATTTAATTCAATTTTTTTGTTGAATCGCGGAAACAATTAAGAAATTCAACCCGTTTTTGTTAAAATTTATTTTGGTAGATATTAACCCGTTGGGGTTAGAATTGGATTTGCGATAAAGGATGACTATAAAAACTAAAGGCAAGGCGAGAAAAATGAGGGAAGAAGGCGATAGGAGAGTTTAGTACAAAGTTAAGCCTTGGATACCAGCAATTAGGGTTGGGTTGGGTTGGATACCCAAAAAGTGATTTTTTGGGTTTTTTAAAAATTCGATTCGATTCGATTTTTGGGTTTTTTGGGTTGGACGATTCACTTTTAAAAAAATATTATATTTTTCGGTTTGGTATGATTCGATTCCGAATAACCGTACCAACACGGCCACCCTATCCAAAATCAATATGACATATTCCCAAATTTCAAATCCTCGCAAGCAAGCAAAAAAAATCCATGGCGACTGCTGCTTACTTCACTCATAAAAGGGTTAATAATATACATAAATCTTTCACAGCCAAGTATCTGTGAAAAGACCATATCTTCACATCAATTGCCACTCTTTGCAATGTCTACTCTCATATACAATGTCAAGCAAGCTTCACCTCTTCATCATCAAGATCCCAACTTTCTCTCTCTCTCTCATTTCACTGCAACTGCCGCGGGGATCATCTTCTTCCTCTTCTCTGAGAAACTTCCGCACGAAACAAACCCGGGAAGACACCCATTTGCGGATTTCAGGCCCTTCTCCCTCTTGTTCGCAGAGTCGTCATCAATGGCGGAAGAGTTAGCTCCAGAGGCACGTGGGGTGTCACCAGCCGATGATGATCTCTCGCTCCTTTCCCTTTGGTTTTCAGGCGACCCTTCTGAAGAGTCTTCCCGTTCTTCCCTTATACTGTCTCTGAAGAGCTCGCCCAGTTTCTTCCTTCGGAGTAATGGACTTCGGGGTTTTTCCTCGAACAGGAGGTTGTGGACACGTGGCAGTCTCTCCGAGAAGCTGTTCTTCGGAGTGTTTCCTCGAGATGGCGTGAAATCTGCACGATTTTGGGCTCATTAGAAAATGGGCACGTGCCTGATCGGAAGACAAGCGAGCAAGATCACGAATCTTGACCGATACGTACCGCCATTGACGCTGTGGAACTCGTCATCAGATTCTAGCCACGCCTGTGAATCGAAGAACGTCTCTCCTTTGCTTCCTGAGAAACAGTAAGACATTCACACGCTGTCAGATTTCAAGAAAGGGAGGAAGAGAAAAAAAAAGAATCCAGAGTTTCTGAATCTCATCATTTTCTCAAATCCTGACCCAAAGAATCCATGCTTCCTCTCTCCTTGACAGAGGGTATTTCTTAAATGTCATTGGAACCAATGGACATGTGAGGCCACTCTTAAAACTGAAACAGCCTGAATCCCCGGGAAAAAAAATTTCGAATTTCCCAAGAATCCTTCAAATTAAAGGCAGAAAAAAAAATAAGATCATCAAAAAGAGTAAAGAAGAGTTCTTTTCACTGTTTTTGAGATGTGGGTCACTGTTCTTGAAGACAAACTTGAATCACAATTACACCAAATCTCTCTCTTCTTTCCAGTTTTCTTGTTCCTAGTGCCCCCCACCCTTCACCCCCAAACATAGAAACGCGATTATCTTACAGCACAGGAAAAAAGCCATTGTCTTTTTATCAGACAAAAGTTACTTATGAGTTAAGAAAGAACCTAGAAGTTCTGTTTAGCCACTGATAGAAGAGGTTCAATTGCAACTAGGATGATCATTTGGTCAAGAAAGATCCTAAACAGTCTCTCTGCTTGCAGTTTGCTCAGAAGAAGCCATAGATGGGAATGGGAGAATCCCCATGAGAACTCTTACTTTTACAGCTGAAGATTCTGTGAGGATGAACACATATATACATATATATATATATATATGAAGGTGTGAGTGCGTATGCATATTTAAATCTGAGAAACCCCACCATCCCTTGTCAGATCATTATAGACTAATCATTTCTACGATGAAAAGAACAAGATATAGCTTCACGCGAACAACCATCCATAAACGGAAAAACACTGAAAACCCATCTGAGGAAAGACGAGAGATTTTTAAAAAAAGTACCGAAGCTTTTCTTAGCAGAGGAAAACGACCACCGACGAGACTTGACCGGACGATCTTCCGCCGTCGGAGAGTCCACCGGAACTGAGTTCTCCTTTCCGGGAGATTCTGTCGGGATCGATCACCACATGTGTTAATATGGAGGCGTGTATATAATTATAATGGTATTTTATATATATTTTCTGAGAAATCCCACGTTCCCAATAAGATCGAACATCGTTATAGTGTAATCATTCTCGCTACAACCCCGAACCAAACTGAAAAAGAAAAAGGAAAGACGACAGCTTTATGCAAAAAAAAAAAAGGCGAAACACTGAAAAAGTGAAAACCCATCTGAAGAAACAGAGATTCCGAGACAGATACCTAAACTTTTCTCGGCAGAGCAAAACGACGGCCGAGATTTGACCGGTACGCCACCGTCATCCGGCGCTGTCTCCGGCGGATTAGACAACGGAGCCGAGTTCACCTCCTTGGGAGATTCCGGGTTCACCAAACTATCAGCTCTTGTCCCAAAAGCCACGAGCTTCATCGGCGGGCCAGGCCGGGACTTATCAGCCGACGCGCACGAACCCATTCACTGCACGAAACCGATCGAAACGAGAGGGAGACAGGGAGAGAGAGGGAAAGGAGCTCAAACGGAGAAGATGAAACTTTTGGTCTCGAAGGCGTTGATATTTGCTGTCGAGTATCGAGGGAAAGAAAGATCGGAAGCGGACGTCGTGCTCTACTATGGGTCCCACCGTACGCGTAGCCCACTCAGTTTTCGCGTTCTTCCGCCGTGTTTGCTATGCCCAAAAACGGTGTCGTTCCACATTTTGTGATGGTAGGACCCACAAGATTTTTGGCATTTAGTCTCCTAATCACGTAATAAGATAACTTATCAACAATTTAATGCACTTTCTTGGTTTTAAAATCTGATTTTATTGCCGCTTTAACTTTGACCATTAGATGGTGGAACTGGTAGTAGCTGGTTAGACTTCTCCTTAAAAAGAATTAAGTCGATTTTTATAAATGCGTAAAAATTTATTTTTACTTTTGGAATTCACCGGGTGTGGTTTTATTTTATATTGTTTTTTTAGAACCTTAAATGACGGATTCGGAGGTAAATGCATGTTATCTGGTGCATTATATCATTTAATTATATAACAAGAATTTTTTTTGATACAATTATAACTTAACTATCTTTTGCTGTTTATTACATACTTTGTCTAAATGCAAATTAATGCAATAAACATCGAATAATAATATATGTAATTAAAAAAGGGATATTACCGCAAATCGAAATTATTATTAATGCTTTTAGTAATTGAGTTTTTAAAAGAAATTCCAATAATATACATTTTTATTTTTAAAATGTTTTAATTAAATTATGGAGCATAATTTTATATAAATTATAAAACCTCGCTAATACATTGATTAAGCTTCTGGAAAATCAAAGCAGAAGGTACACGACACCATGATTACCTACCTGTCCCATATAATATTATATACACACACACAAACATATATATAAGCTGGATTAATTTACGTGGGGAGGTCAACTAATTTGGTAGATCAATAAGTTTCACGTCGATAATCGCAATTTAAATATTGCTTTTGTTGAATTGCAAATATATGAATCACGAAATAAAATAGAATAAATACAGTGGTTGTAATTCAAATTAAGCAATGATGAATATTTTTTATTATTGACAAAAAATGTATACATATTTATCTTTGCAAATATATTTAAATTGGAAAAAGAAAATTAGTCAGTCAGGACATTGTTATCAATCACGGAGAGTTGCCACGTTTACTGGTAAAATTAGTTCAACTCTTTAATTATTGAAAACAGTTTGTGGCAGTTGTCTTTTTTGGAATTATTAGTTATAACTAACATCTCCAATACGGTATTATAAATTAAAATACAATAATAGTATTACAATTTAGTTGTAATAATAAAAAAATAAACGGACTTATCTCGTGGGCCATGGACCGAATCTTACGTGTTTTTCATGACTTCATTACAAATTTGTAGTTATTCTTAACATTTAGAATACGATTGCAATACATCGCTGTCAAGACTCCATGTTTAAATATATATATATATATATATATATATATATATATATATATATATATATATTTGTATGTATGTATGCATGTGCATTGTGTCATTGAAATCTAATCGAAAATAAAATATATATTATTATTTTAATGTAGGCCCAAGCTAAAACTATTTGAGCCTACTCGGCCTTATATCCATGGCCCGTCCGTACGACCCATTAAACGGTGACGTTTCCAGTAGAGATGCCATCGCGTGTTGAACCACGCAAGAGAATCATCAGAGAAAATCTCCTGGAGATATCTTGTTATCGTCTAAAATAGTTCCTTTCTTCGAAGAGTCAGAACCCAAGTTGGTAATTTTCTCTCGATTTCTCGCAAGTACTCGTCCGTTTACTGGGTTTTTCGCTTTCGCTTCTATCTTCTTTTCCGGCGAGTTCGTCGGGGAGGAAAAACAAGAGTAGAAAATATGCAAATTTCTAGCTCACTGAGATCGTCGGAGGTTTTCCTCCTCGCCAGAGGAGTGAAACCCAGTACGAGGTTAGTTCATCTCGTCCTTTTTCACATGTTTCCTTGATCTGGGTCGATTGTTTACGTGTCTGCAATTGTAGGAATCGCGTAAAGATTCGATTTTTCTTGAATGCTTCTGGAGAGAAAAATGGAATTAGCTTTCGTAAGGGAAGCTGGGAAATTATCCGAAAACCCTCTAACATGACACCATAGTCATCGTCATATCCAGAGTTCGTCAGTTGTGAGAAATTCATCTCAAGTTTATATGATTTATAGATTCTGATTCCGATTCTGATTCTTTGAATAGATTCCGTTCGTTTTCCCATGAAGCGATCTTCAGCGTAGTTTCAGTGCGTATTTATCGGAGTAGTTTTCTGATTGCATCTGTTTTTTAACCTCAGGACTCAGCTTTGGTTCACAGAAAAACTCATTTTCCGGCAAGAAAAGTCCGGTGAGCGATCCGAGTGATGATTACATTGAACCAAATCTCTTATCCTCTTTTGTCTATCTTCGACGAGATTTAAGTTCTAGTTCCATTGATGTTGCAGCAGCTGTCCGTTTCAAGAACTTAGTGGTTTCATTCAACCCGAGACCTGTGCCCCCGAGCTTGATTATCGCAGAGAAAGAGGAGGCGAAAGCTGTTCTGAGCCTGTTCCTGAAGAAGCTCGGTTTTAGCAACACGTTCGCTGTAAGAACCATCAACAAGTCTGACCTTTTCATCGACCATCTGGTCTCGAGACTTCACTCTGTTCATAAATCTCGGTACCTCGTAGGTTCGATCTTTTTTTTTTTGTATACATTAATCGATACACAAGCTTATGATATACGACTTTTAATAACCAAGCTCGACGAATGCGGAGAATTGAATCGTTTTTTTCTCGTATTGCAGGGAGGGAGCTGACTACTCTCGAGATTCGAGATGCTCTCATTCCGTACCTCGAATCTCTTCACGAAGAGAACGGAGATCTTCTCCCGGACATGGTTGCTAGTTTCCCGAATCCGCCAGCCAAGCGAAGACCGGAATCATCACCAGTCCCGGTTCTACCATCCAGTTCTGCTACTGATTCTGCTGCCGCTGCTGATTCTCGCAAGCTCCGAGCTGTATCCCGTGTGAGCGAACTCGGCCCAGAAGGTGCGCTCCGTCCCCAAATCCTCTACCTCCTTGACCTCGGTCTTAAGCTCGAGCAGATCAAGGTGATCACCCGCAAATTTCCCGCCTTTCCATACTACAGCCTTGAGGGCAAGATCAGACCAGTGGTCGAGTTCCTCCTAGACCTCGGGATCCCGAGATCAGATATACCGACAATCCTCTGCAAACGTCCCCAAATCTGCGGTATCAGCCTCTCAGACAATCTTAAACCCACAATGGCCTTCCTCGAGACTCTTGGCATAGACAAGAATCAATGGGCGAAGGTCATTTACCGTTTTCCGGCTATTCTCACGTATAGCCGGCAAAAACTCACCGCTACGGCCGACTTCCTATCTGAAACCGGTCTCTCTGAGGAAAGCATCGGAAAGGTCTTAACCCGATGTCCGAACATCATCAGTTACAGCATCGAGGACAAACTCCGGCCTACCATAGAGTATTTCAAATCGCTAAACGTTGATGTTGCAGTTCTTCTCCACCGGTGTCCACAGACTTTTGGACTGAGCATTGAAACGAATCTGAAACCCGTGACAGAGTTTTTTCTCGAGAAAGGGTACACTTTAGACGAGATTCGGATCATGATCTCGAGGTATGGAGCTCTGTACACGTTTAGCTTGAACGAGAACTTGATGCCGAAATGGGAGTACTTTCAGACAATGGATTACCCGAACTCGGAGCTGGTGAAGTTTCCACAGTTCTTTGGTTACAGCCTGGAGGAAAGGATCAAGCCAAGGTATGAGCTTGTGAAGAGTTGTGGGGTGAAACTGCTTCTGAACCAGGTCCTGTCCCTGTCGGGACGTGAGTTCGATAGAGTGGTGAACAAGAAGATGAAGAAACTGCTCCCAAACCATGGAAGCACCAAAAGTGTAAAACCCAAGAAAGCTGATATCAGTGATTGATACAAAAAGGCTGTGAATTTTTCGAATCCAAATTTAGCGGTTGCGGTTTATACTCCTGACCTGCGAGATCGTGTTTTTTTTTCCGTCCGAAGCAGCCGCGGAATTAGCTCGTGTGTTCATAGTTTCCTCATGAAATGTTGATGACAAACTAACCGGAAAGTCTGTATCTCCCTTTGTCTTAGAAACAAGTCCTTTTAACAATGATAACGTTGGCTTCTCTTGGGCCGGTCTGAGTTTGCTGCTTCGAAAGTGTCATATGAATGTGCGTCCAAATCTTTTTTTTTTTTTTTGGTTCAGATGTCTGTCCAAATCTTTGTATATATTTCAGGAGTATCCAAGAAAAAAAAATGTATATATTTTATTCAGAAGTTTAGCCAAACAAATTTTATCTGAAAGATACAATAAATATATATATATATGTATCAATATGACCTTGTGCAAAAAAACTACAACGCGGAAATTATTAGGGATGTACGTTTTGGAATTCCGTTCAATTTTAGTTTCATTTCGGTTTGAGAAAATATTTATTTTTTCGTAAACACAAATTCATGTTATAAAACAGCAGAAATCGAAACCAGTCGTATAAGAGAATAAGAGAATGATAAACAAAATCTTTCTTATTACTATAAAAGACCTGCATGATGCGCGAGTTATTTTTTTATTGTTAATATAAAATGTTTAATTTTTCTTTATAAAAAATATTGATATGAATATAGCAAAAATTATATTATTAAATTATTATATATATATATATATATATATATATATATGAAAAAACGAAAGAATTTAAATATCATTACATTATTATTATAATGATGATATGCATGTCTAGTCAATATAATTATATATTTTACGTTATATCTCTTTGTATCTTTTTCATTAACGCATTTAGAAATAATAACTTATGAATTTCTTTAATATAAAATTTTGATCATTTAGATAATATAGATATTTTTTGCATCAATCGAATGTTATCATTTTATTTTTTAACTTATATTTGTTAATTGATATTACGAAGACCATATATAGTAATTATTCGCATGATTATTGGATAAAATGATGTTGTGTTAAAAAAATATTGTTATTAATATAAATTATTTTTATTTTCATTATAAAAAATTATTCATATGAATATAAAAAAATAAGTTTATATATATATATATATATATATATATATATATATATATATAATATAAAGTTAAACTATATTATTAAGGGGAAAACTCCTAAAAATTTCTGAACTTGCAAAGTGCGGGAAAAAAAATTCCTGAACTTGCGAGGGTGCAAAATAATTTCCGAACTTGCAAAAAGTGTCTTAATAAATCCTAATCTTGTTAAAAAGTGTCATATTAGTCCTTCGAAAAAATTGATTATAATAATATGATTCTATGTCTTACGTGGCAGGTGACATGACACGGCAACTGTAATTTTTTTGCCACGTAATCAGTACCGGGTTTTAGAAAACCGATTTCTTGCACTTAGTATACACGCTGATTTACACTATACAAGATGAAACGTTCCATCTGCTCAGGCTTTTAAGCTCTTCAAGATCGACATCCGATCTGTCTTCCTCGATGTAGATAACATTCGGTATAGTTTTCAGACTCGAGCTTATCGGAGAAATCCTTGGAAGATTGACAAAATCATAATAAAACGCCATCAATGGCAGAAGGGTTTGAACAAATTCGAAGTAGCTCGGTACGGGGTTTACAATGAATGGAATCTGAAACATAGAAGATGCATAGATGAAAAATGGTTCATTCTGCTCAGGTGTCAGAAAGAATGGCGATGCAAGCATCAATATCGCCATTTTTTAAAATCCGGTACCAAATATTTGTGCATACTAAGTGTTCGATGAAATGCGTCTAAGAGACTCTAGAATATTTTCTGAAGAAATCGTTTTTCTAAAAACCGGTACTGATTACGTGGTAAAAAATCACACTTGGCGTGCCATGTCACCTGCCACGTAGGACATAAAATTATATTATTATAATCAGTTTTTTCGAAGGACTAATATGACACTTTTAAACAAGATTAAGATTTATTGAAACACTTTTTGCAAGTTCAGGAATTATTTGGCACTCTCACAAGTTCAGAAATTTTTTTTCTCACACTTTACAAGTTCAGGAATTTTTAGGAGTTTTTTTCTATTATTAAATCATTATATATATTTAAAAAGTATAAAATAGAATAATATAATATATTAAGAATTTACGATTTTATATGATTTTTATAATTTCCATCGATAATTTTAAAATTTACATCAATAACGATTATAACATTAAATTTAACATTTAATTTATCCATTTGTGAGCGAAATTCTATTGCAAAATCACCTTGAAAAGCTTTACAATATTGTTCTTTTTCTAGATAAAAATTATAGAAAAGTTTGTTAAAAATTAAATAAAAATTAAAATTTTCAAATTATATACTTGAATATTACTTTTGATTTAAACATGCGATGAAAATAATATAATTAGACACATCACTAACTTATTTATAATGTATATTTATAACTTTTATTAAAAACAAAATTATTGTAATTCATTATCTTTTAAAACGATAAGATAATATTCATATGGTGGTATTATAACATTTTTTCTAAATAATTAATAATAATTTAGAGCATATTTTATGATAAAATTTTAAATTATTATAATAATAAAAATTATATATTATAAATTATAAATTTATTAAAAATTATTAATAATTGTATAAATAGAAATAATAATAATTTATGTATATCGAAAACTCTATCCATTAGTTTTTGAATGTTCTCTAAGATTCTAATTTAAAATAACATTATTTAGTTTTATCATAATTTTTTTGCCATTATATTTGTTTGTTTATATATAGTTGTGTTATAAATCAATAAATATCATATAAAATAACAATACAATTTATTAAAAAAAATTGTATTTTATAAAATTTATCTTATTATTTCATTTTCCATTACCCATTTATTCCTTTTAAAGTTTTTGTTTAATTTTATAATATTATTTTCTTTATTATAAAAATTTGTAGTTAAATTTTAGAATAATATCTTGATTAATATCTAGATAAAAAATATTGATTAATCTTATTCTATATATCTATCTAGTATACATTTCATTACTACATATGATTTAGAATAAATAACTTTAAGATTAAAATAAATAAATAAATCTATACGTAAATTTTACATATATATACAAACATGTATGCTTATATATATATACATACTACATAATATATTTTGTATAAAAGAAGTTGAATTTGAGTATTTTTCTTGGTTTAAACTCATGTGTTTTCATGTTAAATATTTTTCTATATACCACGTACTTTAAATAAATTTATTTTAATCAAATTAATAAATAAATCTATACATATAGAAATAACCATTTCAATCTCACCTTTTCATAAAATCTAAAAGTCCATACTATTCTTGTTCATGTCTGTAAAGGATTTAACTCGATTTCTCACCGATCTACTCTCCGATTCACTCTTTCGTGCGTAAGAACAGAAAAAAGAGGAGACACAAGAGGTACGAGTTCAATAGAGCTCGGTACCTACGTCTCGGAAAGAGAGAACTACTATTTGTTAGGTACAACACAGAACCACGCCGGAGAATCGACCGGAGTCGACTACAGCGCAACTGGAGAACCGAAGTTCACCGAGAGAGAAGAGAGAGAGCACCAGAGAAAAATGCAAAGTCTGAAGAATACAGAAACCCTAATTGGTCTCATAACCCTGACCATACAAATGACTAAAATACCCCTCTACCCTCGATCTCCTCCTTCGCCCTCCGGGACCTACACTCTTTCTTATAGTGTCCCTTCTTGCCGCAATACCAACACTCCACCTAGTCCTTGGCCTTCTTCTTCCCGCCACCCAATTTCTCGGGTTTGCCCTCACTACAAGGAAACACGAAAAGGGTAACAAAAAAAGTGACGCAATTTTTGCGTCACTAAAAGGGTGACGTAGTACTGACGATTTGGTGATGCAAATATTGACGCAACAAAAGCGTCACCAAATCGTCACTATTTAGTGACGATCTGGTGACGAAAAACCTAGCGTCACCATTTGGTGACGCAGTTATGACGCACAACAGTGTCGCCAAATGACGCGCGGAAATTTCGTCACCCTTGCGTCACTATTTGATGACGCAATTTCGTCACTATTGTTTTGGTGACGAAATTGCGTCATAATTTTTTACGCAATTGCGTCACAATTTTTTTTTTTGGTGACGCAATTGCATCACTATTTGTTATTTTAGTGACGAAATTGCGTCACTCTATTTCCATTATACCACCCCGCGATCTCATACACTCTTGCATCCGAAAAAAAACTCAAAAAATGGCGTCGAGTAATAACAATATTTATTACTCAAGAAAATGGATGTAGAAAGAGTAAATCCTTCTACGGGTAATGTATCTATGCATTACAAAGAAGGGTTGACTAATTTTTTGGAGTTTGCAACAAATCAACATATTTTTCTTCAGAGAGGAAAGATATATTGTCTGTGCCGAAGATGTAAAAACGAGAGAGAATAAGTTCCATAAGTTGTGATTGTTGGGTTTCCTGGGATCTCATGAGCGAATATAATTCCTAAGAGATCGATTCTAGGGTTTGCGCAGCGGATATAAAACAAAAATTTTAATGAAACCCTAGAACCATGCTACTATTGAATCATAGAAACGTTAGAACACTTACCTCAATCGATCCGGGACCTGTATCAATTGATTTGTTCGTCCGATCACTCTAGGCAGGAAGAATACCTCGCCCTCTACACGTATCCACACCTCGGGATGGATTCCAAC